ATTTTTTCTTTTGCAGATAATGAGGCACTAATAAGGAGCATACTATTGTAGAGCAAAACTGAATATTCAGGTTTCTGTAGAAATTATTAGGAAAGAAAGAGCTTCAAGCTTACTTGCCAACAGCAAATGATTGTTAATTTATGTGAATATGCTTTTCTATTAATTATTAGGAATGACATGAATACAAGTTTTCCATGTTCAATACCATTACTGCAACTTGGAGTATCTGCCAATACCAATATCTATTCAGTACATTTTTTATCCTCCAGTATCTTCTATTTTAACCTGAATTATTTTATGAAATATGACAGGTAACGAAGCAATTTTTACTGACACGTATTTGGTTGTAGATATGTACTAACATGATTTTTATTTCAGTTTCTCCTGTGTCCTCTACTGGGAATTGGCATGGTCACATAACTGGTGGTATGTTTGACTACAGTATGCCAATGCAAGCACCGCAGTCGTACCCATACAGCACAGGTCCATACAGTCACCCAACACACAGCAGGTAAGAAAAAACACTTGGCCTTAACTCAGCTTCCTATCCAATAAGCTACCTCCTTATCCCCTTTATTCCCAGAGCTAAGCTGCAGTTTAACCACCTAGATTGACTGCCCCCCACACACCAGGTTTATGGGCTGGTGTAGAGCAAATGTTACTGTTTGCCTTTTGATATCTTTGTTTGTACTATGTATCTCCAAAGATAAATTTGGGGGGGGGGGGGGGGGGGGGGGTGGTAAGACTGATGAGGTAATTCAAGTAGAATTTCAGGTGAACTGAGTAAAATACAAGGGTGGTAGAGAAGGGACAAGAATGTACTTAAAACCAGGTACCTTTGAGAGAAAGGTAATCATTTCAGCAGTCCCCCCCCCCCCCCCCCCCCCCCCCCCTTTGGTGAAATGGTCCAGAGGTGGGATTATAGATTACAGAGCAGCTAGCAATCACCTTCTCTTCAGCTCTTGACAATGATGTTCCTTCTCCTCCTTAACTCTACACTGGACCACCCTTTCTTGTAGATCTGGTGCCACACAGCTTTTAAAGGTTTCCTGCCACAGCCCTGATGGTCGGAGGCGCTGTGCCTTCTTTCCTGCTAGTTCTTCCTCCTCTGCTACCTCCTCCACCTCTTCCTCCCTGCCTCCGTCTTCCTTTCTCTCTTCCTCTTCCTCCCCCACTTGTCGTGTCAGACAGGTGGCCTCCAGCCCTGCAAGAACACAGTCCTCAGGAGGGCAGAGGCTCAGTAAAGTTTCCTTTGTGAAAGGTAGCTCATAGTAAGTAAATAGCCACTGCTGGGGTTTGTGCACACCCCTAGTGTGTTTGCAGTGTGACTCTAATTCTGCTTGCTGTTGTGAATTTAAAAGTAAAGTTTGCATTCCTTAAATGATATGCGTCCATTGCAATAATGAAGTAACTGCATGGCTTTCTCAAATAATGCTTGCCCCCACTTTGTCTTCAGGGCAAACATGTTGCCTTCCAGTGGTCACATTTACAGCTCTTGCTGTAACTCTGTCCTTTTCTCTTTTTCTTCTCCTTCCTTTCTCTGATGTTTGCCATGCTGGGGCTCCTGCTCATAAACTGCCATACCTCCTGTGTACAGATGTTCATAATAGTTCAAGAGGTGTAGCTATTGTATGAGGGCGTGGCCTGTGGTGCTTTAGAGAAGTGTGGTGCAAATTAACTTTTTCCTAAAACCAAAAAAATGTCAATGTCAAAGCAGAGAAGCGTGGATGAGAGACAGCTATGTGAAGAACTGCACATGGTTCATGTGGTGTGTCCTTTATTAGAGACCCCAGGATGCCTGTTCTCAAATAACTGTTGTGGATGTTTTGCAGCTTAAAACAAAAACTTAAAATCATTAGAAATTGCTTTTGACTAAAATAGCCTTTAAAATGTTATTACATGTGCAATGAAACGTGAACCTCAAGTGCCACTACTAAGCATAAAATAAAGTTATTAATGTATTTAAAAACAAGCAGTTGCATTGTTTCCTTATTGTGTCAACACAGGTCAGTCATCCATGGCCTTTTTCCTTTGAAACAGTGACAACACTGTGAAATTTATTTTCAGAAAACAATGATGGTCTGTCGTCACCTAAACACTAGCTCTAATGAAGGCCATCAACCAGTATCGATGAACTGCCCCTGCATTTATTTCCAGCTGCAGTACTCACAGCTTTTTACCACAGAACTGTACATTTAAACCAGCTCCTTTAATAAATTAGTCCTTTGTTGTGGTTGTAGCAGAGTTACTTGTGTGGCAAAGAGAAAATGTGACCACTGAACATTGTCACATCACTGACGTTGTGTGATTTTTTTTTTTTTTTTGTACATAAATACATGTGTATTGTGTACATGTTTTGTTGATACAGAATGTTTAATCTTGGGTTAAGGTGGGGTAAAATCCTGAACTCTAATATACCTAACCATCAGCTAACATCTGTACAAATAGCATCTGAACCAGGCGAGGTTTAAAAACTAAACTAGGATTTTTCACAGCTCTTTGTCAATCATAAACATTGTTCCTTGAACAGTGTCATCTCGCTGTTGCTTTTCTGGTCCAGTGTGATACATACTCCATGTTCATATGCGTAGTGCACCTTTCTTACAGATACTATAAAGTGTGTAGTGTCTATTATATTTCTCAGATTTAGTAAATTCAGAATCAGTGTTTCTTTGTAAACACTGAAGCTTCTTTAAATTGTTTAGAAAGCAGAAAATGTGCCGCTCCTTTTCGCGGCTCAGTTGTTAGTAATGTGCACTGGCCCTGGTGAATAAAGTCCATTTGTTATCGTTCTGTGCAGCTTATCTTCAGACACAGGTTTAGAAAACGACAGCAGATTAAAACGAGAAAAAAACTCAGTTTAGCAGAAACTATCTGCATAAGATTATCTTATCTTATATCCTGTTGTTTTTCATCAGCCACTTCCCCATCGAGACACTTCAGTCATGATGTGAAGCATTTTGAGTAGAGAGTAGTAGAGTAGAGTAGGGCTTTATGTTTGCTTCAACATTACAGCTGATCTCTTGTCTGTAAACAGCCTGTGGTGATGAAAAGATAAAACACCTTTTATTCCCCTGGCTATCTTTTCACTGGCATGGACCTGATTCACCGTGGCCTGTTCTGTTCTCATTTTCTTTACTTTTTTTTCTCAATGTTCCTGTGCCTGAGCATGAGCACAACCTGTTTTTGATTGGCTGCAAAAGCTTTGTGTGACTCGATCCTGAGCTTCTACATTTGGTTTCCTTTGAACTTGTTTAAAAGCTGCTGGCTACCGGGCTTACTCTACCTAGATTTGTTTTTCATCTCATACAGTATCTGACTTTAGTACGTATTCAAACAATCATTGTTGGTTGTTGTTAACAACCTGAATCTCCTCTGCTTGTTCCAGGTCCTACATAGACATCAGCAGCCATGTGCAGACTTCCATGGAGCCGTGCGACAAGATTTACTGGCATGAGGACTCCAAACCAGGAACCATTGTGTAGTTGCCTAACTTTTCACCATTGACAGATTTGTCAATGTGCCTTAAATATGCACTTAACCCTTTACTTTTTATGTGTGAGTGTATGGGATCCAAAGAATGAAGGAACTCAACGGCATCTTCTGACCATCAAGACAACATCAGTTGCCAAAAACAAACCACACTGAAATTATATGGAGTGTTTTCATGCGTTGGGATCGTGTTTGTAGTGACAGCACTCACACAGAACACATCTGTCCCACAACCTCCTGTGGTCTGTGTGGCACAGCCAAAGGCAATGTGGACGAAAGCCTCTCCAGTGTTTTCCACCGTCACAAGATGAAGACTAAGTCGTACTGAGCATACTGAGCCGTAAACGATCAAGGACCGAGTGAGTCATACTGTTCTTACACTGACGTACACACGTACGTGAACAACGTTACCATGAAGGATACGACAAAAATCGATGAGAACATCATCAAAAATGAAGGATTACAAGTGGAGAAGAATTTAAAAAGAAAAAAAAGAACTGGTTCATCATCTCCTAGAACTGTACAGTCACCAGATCTGGTTACATCAGTTTGTGCTTCCTCTACTCTGAGTATATTTGACAGTGAGTCCATCTCACTGTTAGAAAAACAAAACAAAAAAAACAACACACCTGAGCCAAATAATACTGCTCTGCCTCACCTAAGAGTATTCTGTAAACCATTCAACATGGATTTTACTGCCACATCTGATCAGTCGCCTCAACAACAACAAAAGTCAAGATTGCCTTTTGTTTAAATGTCTAGATTCTCCTGCTCATCCATGCTGGACATCATGGACTGGTGCTCCTGTGTTTGTCTCAGAGAATGAAGCTGTATGTAAATGTTGCTGTTGTAAATACACTAGTTCAGTCTGTTTTGTAGAGCATTTTATATGGATTTGAAAAGCATGTAATATATAGTGACACAACTGTTAAGCTGGTTCTTAGTCATTTTTATGATTACTTTTATTGGAATAAAAAACTAAATCAGCATTTATGTCTTCACACCAGTATTTATTTATTTATATGCATTTATTCCACAACCTATTGTCATCAGGACAGAAGTGATGCTCTGAATACTTTTAGAGTGGCTTCCATCTGGACGCTCTGAACTTGTAGGATTTTCTGAAGATTTCATTTCTAACGTCTGTATGAAGCCTTTGAAACACTTACAAAGGTAACTGTTTTTTTGTTGTTGTTTTTTTAACTTCATTTCATCCTTCCCTGTACGTACCTGTGCTAACGTTCAAGTTACTTCCTTGGCTATTGACTGCACCATGTCCAAACACTGAACAGTTTGATTTGGTTAAAATTCTGTGCTGTGCAGTAGCCTCACAGTGCAGCTGTATCTCTGGCCTCTTCCCAGTTGTTGATGTGAGTGGCAATTAGTTGATTAAGTGCTAATCGTGCTGATCAAAACTGATGTGTTTTTAAATGGCTCTGCTGCTGCAGCCATCTGTCACACTGTATTTTCTAGCACCTTGCGGTACACACTAAGTGTGTGTGTTTGTGTGTGTCCTTAAGCGGTGAAGCCACTGAACCGGTCTTTAAAAGCCGTCACACCCTCTGTGAGCTGAAACCTCCACTTCTGTCTTTCCTCTACACGTCAAGCCTGTGTTTATGGCACCAAACCCTCCTCCCTGCAGGGATCCTAACAATACAAGTCTGCTGTAGACAAGTATTAAGCCTCCGCCCTTCACCCTATAGATAATCTCTAACCCTTCACCTCATTTTCCTCCCTCCCTTCCTGCTTCGTTTCTATCACCACCTTGCTACCACTGGGTCAAACTTCATTAACTTGCAGTGCCTTCCTGGATGTTATGCTCCTCAGGAGGAGGTCTGGGGTACTTCCAGGTCCTTGGCCTCACCAGGCAGTGAGAGGGGCTGCAGCGTTTGTCATCCAGCTGTCTCTTTTTCCTCTGCTGCCTCACACCAGCTGCAGCCAGACATCAGGAGGAGCTGTTCCAGCTGACACTCCACTGCATACACAATCACCCCCTACGCCACCCCCCAACCCCTCCCCCACTCACCACTCCTATTTACTTCCACCAGAGCTGCAATGCGCATGTTCTTGGAATTTTATTTTCATTGTGTTTAATGTTGGAAACATTTCCTGAGCGCCTTCACTTGTGTATGAAAATTTGAGCCTGTAGGGGGCAGTAATGCAACTAAATGTATAAGAATCTGCTATTAATAGCAGTGAAATAGACAGAGGCTGGAGTTGGTAAAATTACTTACTGACTTATAACAGGCGGTTCTCAATTTACGACATCCTTGACCTACAGCGTTTCGTGGCCATGTCACCACCTCCTATAAATTTATTGAGAAAGTCTTGTTTCATTATTCCAACCTATGGCTTTAAAACTCAGTGAATAGTTCGCACAGTTGGCGAGCGGTGTGGACGAATACGCCATCACGAAGCGCTATACACAGAAAATGGCTTTGTTTACATTCACGTTCTGTTTTGACGTTTTGTCCATTTTTCCAACTGACATTTAGTCTCTTTCTCTTCTAGAGACCTCAAACCAGAGAACATCCTGCTGGACAGTGGTGGTCATGTAATGCTGACCGACTTTGGTCTCTGTAAGGAAGGCGTCTCTTATGGCACCAAACCCTCCTCCCTGCAGGGATCCTAACAATACAAGTCTGCTGTAGACAAGTATTAAGCCTCCGCCCTTCACCCTATAGATAATCTCTAACCCTTCACCTCATTTTCCTCCCTCCCTTCCTGCTTCGTTTCTATCACCACCTTGCTACCACTGGGTCAAACTTCATTAACTTGCAGTGCCTTCCTGGATGTTATGCTCCTCAGGAGGAGGTCTGGGGTACTTCCAGGTCCTTGGCCTCACCAGGCAGTGAGAGGGGCTGCAGCGTTTGTCATCCAGCTGTCTCTTTTTCCTCTGCTGCCTCACACCAGCTGCAGCCAGACATCAGGAGGAGCTGTTCCAGCTGACACTCCACTGCATACACAATCACCCCCTACGCCACCCCCCAACCCCTCCCCCACTCACCACTCCTATTTACTTCCACCAGAGCTGCAATGCGCATGTTCTTGGAATTTTATTTTCATTGTGTTTAATGTTGGAAACATTTCCTGAGCGCCTTCACTTGTGTATGAAAATTTGAGCCTGTAGGGGGCAGTAATGCAACTAAATGTATAAGAATCTGCTATTAATAGCAGTGAAATAGACAGAGGCTGGAGTTGGTAAAATTACTTACTGACTTATAACAGGCGGTTCTCAATTTACGACATCCTTGACCTACAGCGTTTCATGATTACGTCGCCATCGCCCATACATTTATTAAGAAAGTCTTGTACCATCTTTTTACCACCGCCACGCGGCACTTCGCGGCATTAACAACTTTGTCTACAAAGAAAAACATTCTTTGTAGACGGTGTATTGTTTAAAATGTATAACATGCTAACATGTATGACCTCCCACGATGAAGGCAGAAGGGGGGCTTTACCAGCCTGTAGGACGAGGGAAGCTCACATGATGGTACAGCAGGCTGCAGAGGTCACAGGAGGTCATCATTAACAGGTCACATGATCAGCTGTGGCGTGGGTCACAGCAGCCGGATCTGTTGAACGACACTCTGAGTTGTGAAGCGAGCTAACCAGATCAGCTGCCTGAAAGCTTAAGCCTCTTGAGCAAATAGAGTAGGAGTAGGTGGAGGAGCAGGGACCAGGAGGGTCAAACGAAAACAGACTTAAGTTTTATAAGATGAACAATTATTGTCTGCTTTTAGTCTTTGTGTTGTGGAAATTAAACACCTGGGACATGTTGCAAGTCCAAAGTTGTTTTTTTGTTGTATTCAGCTTCAGTTCAACCGATTACCAACAATAAAAAAATATTTTTAAAATTGGGAGCCTAAGTCCCTTGTTTAAATTTAAAAAAAAGTAAAAGTAAAGTGTTTAAAATACATAAAGTATTTACATTTTAGTAAAATAAATACATAAAATAAAGTACTTGAACTACAAACAGCTAAGTTGTTTGTGGTCAAAATGACCCTAAGGACCACACAAGGGTTAAATCATCAAACAGGAATCAAATCAAATCAAATGCCTAATTAGCACCACCTGCAGGCTAGGAAGAGTTTCCAAATGATCAATGTTGACATACACAGAATGTCATAAAATTGCACAACATTGCAATTCGACATTTAAGAAATAAAATTTACTTTGCCTCAAACAATAAAAAGTAGTTACCATATACTCCAGCAGAGTGCGCTCTGACTAAAACTGGCCCTTAGACTTCATAAACCTTTTTGAAATAAAACACAGTTCTACAACCACCAACATACACTGTAGTAACATGGATTTCATTCACTGCTTTGCTACAGCAAAGGCCCTCCCTGGTGAACAATATTACACAGCCAGGGGGCCTATGTGTGTGAGCTATGGGGTGTACCACGAGGGGCCTAATCTCTTTGAAGGTTTAGGAGGTCAAGCATTATTCCTTTGCACGACAGCCCGAGTAAAACATTTGTCATCAAAAGGCAGAACATGTAAAGAATGTGATACATCGTCAATAATCTTTTTGATGTCGGTCAGGCTGCCTGTGTTTGTATGAAGCTCCATTCCCCCTTTCATCAGAGTGGGGGCCCTGAACAGTCTGATATGCCCTGGATCATGGGGGAGGTTTATTTCATTTTCATAAACCTTATCTTATCACACAACTGAGTCAAACTGTATTTTACACAAAAATTACATAGAAATGACATCTCCAAACTGACAATAACAGTGTAGAAATTGATGAGTATTATTATCGTATATAATATTTCAAATTTAGATGATTAGTGTTTAGCAAATGTTTATAAAAACAAAATGGAGAGGATATTAAAACGCCATAGTCAAAGTACTTCACAGTCCAACTGTTACTTTATAGTTAGCCTAACTACTCACTGTGCTATAAAACGTTAGCTTTGTGCCCCAAAAGACTTGTCTTTTGAATTCCATTTGTTGTAGTGAGATATCTGCCCAACAAGCTATAAAACATTAGCTCTTCCAGCTTTGTGTAGGTGTTAGCTGGATAAAAATTCCCCTTTCACAATGGTTTGTTTGGAAAATTTGACAGTATTCTTTAAAAAAAACAAACAAAAAAAAAAAAAACGTTTTATTGTAGTTGGCTAACTGTTTTAGCTTTGTAAAGGTGTAACGCAGCTGTTTGGATTTGAACCCATAAAAACTACCTTTCCTACGCCCTGATGAAAATACTAAAAGCAGAAAGGCAGCCTTCTCCAGGCTCGCATGTGTTTGGATGAAGGGAAGGCAGAGGGTCAACACCTGTCTGGTGTGTGTTTGGCAGCACACACGTGTGCTAGTAGTTTCCTTAGAGCAGCTGCAGCAGCAGCAAGAACAAGGGCCTTCACTGTGGCCTGAGAGACATGACTTCACTTCAGTTCAGTAGCACCCGTGTCTGTGCCACCACTCCTCCGCGTCTCACAATATGGATGAGGATGAGGCACCGCAGCGCTAGGACATAAATCACTGCGCTAGCACAGGGGTGGTAACGCCTTGAAGTAAAACTGGAGAGCCACTGATATTCTGTTACACCTGAGTGTGCAGAGGTCACCAGTCGGTTAGTTTCGAAAAGATCACACATTCCTTACAGAGGGAAAAGCAGTGTGTTGGATGCTAAAGGTTCAGTCTTTCTAAAGGTAATTTATGCAGCGTGTGGTTGTATTACAGCTAACGTTTGAGATTTAGGAACTTGAGCAACAATTCTTAAATGCTGAATTTCATCTTTAATTTTTGTATTTTTTTCAAAACAATAGACAAAATGCCAAGCAAAAACACCTAAAGAAATAATAAATGTATCTAAATTGAGGTTAAGTTTAGAAAGTAATTTAATTTTAAGTAGTTTAATCTTTATATTGAATAACGGATGACAAATATAAAAACGTAGTAGTCCTCTGTTTTCAGTGTGATGAGTGTGACGTCAAGCTGAAACGAATCCTCCTATTGTGACGTCAAGCTGAAACGAATCCTCCCAGTTCAAAGGTGTGTGAGAGTCGCCTGACTCGCCCGGTTGACAACGACGTTCCTTTGGTGTCAGTGTCTTTAGGCTGAATCTAGTCAAAACCTCATTTAACTACACTTAAAGAATACCTCACGTCAAACACCAGCCACCCTGACTTCTGAGTCCTTTTATTACCCATCATCCTCATCTTCACACTTCAATATCCCCACACACTGGCCCTTACACAGAGCATTAGGGTCCAAATAGAGTCCGGCCATCACTGTCGATTCCAAATGGAATCCAATAGGAAGGAGTGGAAAGTAGCTGACACAGCAGGGACTGGGATCAGGAAGTGACTGACTGCAGATGAATCCACTTAGTCACTGTGCCACACTCTCTGCTCTCCACACTATAATCTACTGGAGCCCATTGATCAGTACAAAGGCAAGTGGAAAGGCAGACAGTCAGTCAATCCATCAGCCAGGAGGCATTGTCAAGATTAAACAGTCAAAGGTGCAGAAGAGGCACGGAGGGTCACGTGACCTCACACTCTTTTGAAGCCTCCATCTTAATTATAGCCACTGATCTGTCTTCTGTCTGTAGGATCAGAGCGACGACCGGGATTGAATGGTGGGAAAGAGAGGACTACAGCGATCCGTGCATTTCATTAGGAACTTTTATTAAACTTTAATTACACTTCAAAAATATAAAAAATGGATCTTTGAGGACAGAGCAATGGGTCAGAGTAAATAGCTCGAGAGTGC